GATCCTTCCGCCTCAGCTTTCCAAGTAGCTGGAATTACAGGTGTGCACTACCACACCCGGCTAATTTTTGATTTATTGTAGAGATGAGGTCTCACCAAGTTGCCCAGGCAGATCTTGAACCCGCGGGCTCAGGCAATTCACTCACCTCAGCCTCCCAAGGCGTGGGATTACAGGCTGAGCCACCAAGCCCGGCTAGGGATTGTGCTTTTTATTTGGTTCTCTGCCTACTTGTTGTTGGTGTATAAGATTGCTGCTGTGTTTTGTACATTTATTTTGTACCCTGAGACTTTGCCAAAGTTCTGTATCAGTGCAAGCAGGTTTTTGACAGAATCTCTTGGATTTTCGAGGTATAGGATCATATCATCAGCAAAGAGGGATAACTTGATTTCCTCTTTTCCTACTTGGATACACCTGATTTCCTTCTCTTGTTTAATTGCCCTGACTAGGACTTCCAACACAATGTTGAACAAGAGGGATGAGAGTGGGCAAACTTGTCTTGTTCCAGTTTTCAGAGGAAATGTTTCCAGTTTTTGTCCATTTAGCAATATGTAGCTGTGGGTTTATCGTAGATGGCAGTTACAATTTTGAGGTATGCTCCTTCTATACCTAGGTGTTTGAGAGTTTTTATCAAGAAAGGATGCTGGATTTTAAAAGCTTTTTCTGCATCTAATGAGATAATCATGTGGTTCTTGTTTTTACATCTGTTGATGTATTTAACTACATTTATGGTCCTGCAGATGTTGAAGCAGCCCTATGTCCTGAGGATGAAGCCTACTTGGTCATGGTGGATGATTTTTGAGATGTATTTTTTGGATCCAATTTGCTAGAATCTTGTTGAGGATTTTTGGATCCATGTTCATAAGGAATATTGGCTTGTAGTTCTCTTTTTTGTTGAATCTTTACCTGGTTTGGGTATCAGTGTGATGTTAGCTTTGTAAAATGATTTGGGGAGAATTCCATCTTTCTCAATTGCCTGGAATACTTTCAGTAGGTTTGATATCAGTGCTTCCTCGTACATTTTGGTGAATTCTGCTGGAAAGCCATCTGGTCCAGGGCTTTTTTTGTAGTAGTTTTCATATGACAGAGTCAAATTCCTGAGTTGTTATTGGTCTATTTAGTGTCTCAATATCTTCTTGTTTCAACCTGGGGAGGTTGTGTGATGTCAAAAATTCCTCCATTTCATTTAGGTTATCAAGTTTGTTTTCACAAAGGTGTGTATTGTAATCTCTAATAATCTTTTGTATTTTTTAGGGTCAGTTGTGGTTTGATCTTTTGTATTTCTGATTGTATTAATTTGAGCCTTTTCTCTGTTTCTCTCGATCATTCTGGCTAGGGGGTCCATCAATCTTATTAATTCTTTCAAATAACCAGCTTTTTGTTTTGTTGATGTTTTCTATGATATTTTTGTCTTCTATGTCCTGTATTTGGGCTCTCATTTTGGTTATTTGGATTCTTCTGCTAGAGTTAGGATTTTGTTGGTTTTCTCTTTCCCTATCCCTTAGGTGATTTGTTAAGCTCTCAACTTATTATCTTTCCATTTTCTTATGTGTGCTCGTAGAGATATAAATTTCCTTCTTATAACTGTTTTCATGGCATTCCAGAGGTTTTAGTAAGATGTTTCTTCATTTTCATTTGTTTCCAGGAATATTTTAATTTCTGCTTTGATTTCAGTGTTCACCCATAGTTGTTCACCATCATGTTGTGTAGTATCTATGTATTTGTGGACATTGGGGAAATTTTGTTGGTATTGATATTTATATTTATTCCACTGTGGTCTGAGAAGTTGCATGGCAATATTTCAACCTTGTGGAATTTGTTTATGCTTGATTTATGGCCAAGGATGTGATCAATCTTGGAGTACATCCCATATGGTGATGAGTAGAATGTATATTCTGTGGTGGACTATTCTGTAGGTACCTATTAAGTTCATTTGGTTGAGTATCAAGTTTAGGTTCTGGACCACCTTGTTGATTTTTTTGCTTCAATGATCTATCAAGTGCTGTTATTGGGGTATTCAAGTCTCCTGCTCTAATAGTGCTAGAGTCAATATCTTTTTTTAGTTTGTTTAATAGTTGCTTTATAAATGCTGGTGCTTCTGTGTTAGGTGCATATATGTTTAGGATGCATGTTTCGTGTTGATGGATTGAACCTTTTATCATTATTTAGTGTCCTTTCGTATCTTTTAAATTTTTTGATAGCTTAAAGGTTTTATTTTTGGTCTGATATTAAGATCATGACTCCTGCCTTCTTTTGTGATCATTTCCCTTGAAATTCATTTTCAATCCTTTAACTTTAAGTCTGTGTGCATCCCTTATGGTGAGATGAGTTTCCTGGATGCAGAAAATAATTGGGTCATGGTTTCTCATCCAGTTTGCCATTCTGTGTCTTTTCACTGGTGTATTTAGTCAATTCACATTCAGGCTGATTATTGAAATGTGATTGTTTCACATTTGAAATGTGTTTGTTTCAAAGTACAAAACTGTCATGTCTGGCCTTAGAGAGACCCAGTTTGGTATGGCCAGGAGGTCTCTGGGCCTGCAAGGAGGTCACGTGGCAGGTTCCAGGCCCAGCAGCTACCTCTAAGCATCCCTATCACTTAGCAGGCCATGTGATGATGTACGTTCACAGGTGCCACCACGATGGCTGCATTGGTCACTGGACCTTTGATGGCCACTGTGTGGATACACTGCTTGCTCTGAACATCCCACAGGTGTACAGTCTCATTGGGAGCCCAAGAGTAGCATGCTGCCATCAGTGGACCCAGACAGGTAGGTCACCTGGTTCCTGTGCCCTTTGAAGACCTTCCTGGTATCCTGCTCTGGCTGAAAATTCCTCTCCCACTGCCCGGGGCCAAGAGTACAATTGTATCTGGATGATGGAGCTGTCACTGCTGCCACAGAACATATGGTACTGGGCCAGGTCCATGGTCACAGCTATGATGCCCATGTCAAAGAGCACAAAAAATAGCAGCAGCTGTGGAAACCTCCCACAGCTTCACTGTCTGGTCAGGGAGCGTGAGGCCAGATGTGCAGGGGGGCTGGGATCCGGGAGTGGCTGGTTTACAGTGCCCTGTGGAGGTTCAGTCTAGCACCAGACAGTCCTTGCCCCTGAGAAGAGGTGGCTGCTGTTTCCCGAGAACTGCAGGCACTACAGGTACTGGTAGTGGTGGCTCAAGATGACTAGAAGTTTCCTGGTGGACACCTCCCACAGGCATATGCCACCAGGATGTAGAGGTCATTGGGGGACACAGACAGGTGATGGGCTGGGACACATGATCTTCTGCTGGAGATGGTCCTTCTGCTGCAGCTCTCAGGTACAGATGTAGTGTCTTGCCCAGCTGTACCACCAGCAGGTATTGCTGTTTAGCAGCACCAGGTCATGGACCCAGTCAGGCTGTCACAATATGTGAGCAGGTTGGCGCCCAAGTGCAGCTCCTCAGTAGGGCAGGGTGTCTGTACACACAGCCACCTCCATGGGCACAGCCATCTTGCCTCCCCCACCACCCTGGTAGTGCCTTGTTGTTTCTATATACCTCCTTTTTCTTGATTATGTATCACAACTTTCCTTTTTCTTAATTATGTATCACAACTTTCTGATTCTTTTCATATCTAATAATTTTTTTTTTGAGTTGGAGTCTCTGTCGACCAGACTGGAGTGCAGTGGCTGCTCCCTGCCATCGCAGCCTCAACCTGTGGGCTCATGTGAACCTCCTGCCTCAGCCTTCCAAGTAGCTGGAACTACAGGTGCCCGCTACCATGCCTGGCTAATTTTTTTATTTATTGTAGAGACGAGGTCTTGCCAAGTTGCCCAGGCAGGTCTTGAACCCACGGTCTCAGACATTTCACTCACCTTGGCTTACCAAAGTGTGGGATTATAGGTTGAGCCACCGATCCTGGCCATATCTAGTAATTTTGATTACACACTGAATATTTCAATGTTACATTGTAGTGAACCTATATTTCATAGTCTTAATTAAGCAGTTGAATTTTGTTCTGAAAGCTGACTAATTTACTGGCTGGTAACTTTTATCCATTTGAGGCTTGTGTTTGGTCAGATCTAGATCAGTCATTACTCTAGAGCCATAGTAATACTACTTTGAATGTGTGACCCTTCCGGGTTCTCAGCTGAATGCCTATGGAGATCAGTGGTCATTCATTCTGGATAATCAAACCTTCAATGTCTTTCAGCACTGTATGATCTCTGGGGCTTCCATTTGGCACACAGTTTCCAGTAGCTTTTTTCCACCATGCCTCATGAAGTCTTTCCCTACATATATCCAGGTTAATTTTGGGCTGAAGATTCAAAGGGGCATCTCTGCAGATGTCTAGATCCTTCTCTGTGCAGTTTACTCTTCTCCAGTTTTCTACCTAAAACATTTCTGATGCCTCAGCAACAATAACTCTGATATTTATTTCTCCTATCCAGGAAGACAATTACTTTTTGTTCAGGTTACTTCTCTGTGCTGCATGTTGGAACTCATGACCTTTTCTCTCAAAAAATGCAAATCTTGGTTGCCTGTTATCCAATTTTTAAAAATGGCTGATTTACATATTTATAATGTTTAAGGTGTGATGGTAATCCAATGCCTATTTTTCTGTAACTGCTAGAACTGAAATTTATCATTTTTTAAAATTTGAAAGTTATTTTTTTGATAAAAATATGCTTTAAGTATTTATTTTATTTGATTAAGTAATACAGGTTCAATAACTATGTCCACTTTAGCCTTAGCAATAATCTAACCAGAAAAGAGTTATGGAGGATTATGAGAGTGAAAGGTCTCAGAAAGTAAAATTGATGGGCAATAAAATGGAGCAGAACTCAAGTTCCTATCTGTCATAAGGGACTTTATCTGAGCTATGCATTTCAGAATACTTTATCAACTTTGTGTATTAAGGAGACTGTAGGATTTTTAAATTGAAGTACTTCATGCCATCTTCAGCTTTATTTGTTTTGCCTTGGGGAACTCTATTTCCAAATCTTGCCCTCCACTTGTTTTCTACTTGAGGTTTAATTTTGGAGTTTAGAGTTGGTTTCTTGTTAAATTTTAAAAATGCTTCATTTTACTGTCCATCAATTTTATCTTTTGAGTCCTTTCACTCTCTTATAATTCTCCATAATTCTTCTCCAGTTAACTTATTGCTAATGGCTAAAGTGGACCGTTTTTTGAATGACTAATGTGAAGTTAGGTACCTGTGAACATTCTTCTACCGATTGTAGGATGTCTAGTGATTGTTGTACTATCTCTGTATTCCCTTGTGTATTAATTAGCCAGATCCTTTTAGTGTAAGTGGTGCCCATAGTATTTCTAAAGGAGTTTTATGCCTCTTGCTACACAGTCAACTGATCAAACTCATGGTCAATCACTTAAATATGTCTTTTGTTTCCAGAATTTTTTTTGTTTTTTTTAATTTCTTTGCCATTAACATGGCCATATTGGCTATAGATAGACTATTGCCAGGCTGAAAATATATAATGAAGTCAAGTCATGAGGCTTCCCCTCATTTAAGCAGACCCACAAAATGCGTTAACTATGACTCAAGACTTGTATCAGGTGGAATGACACTCAGTGCGCTAATTTTATTTTGTTGTTAATATAACAGTATCTGTTCCATAGTGTAAATTCTGACTAACCAAATTAGGCTAACTTTTGTTTTCTCTTGGGAACATGTCTTCTGTTAGTATTGTAATCAGTGCAGATTGTACACACTTGCTTCCTCCCCTATGTTTTCTTTCTATCTGCTCTCTATCATTATTAATTTATATATTATTCGTGGGTGGCTCTCTCTCAGGGTGTCAGCATCACTAAAGCCCCCTGGCAATGAGTTGGCAGTTGAAAGATCAAAAAGAAGAATTACTATTTTTTTCCAGCTACTTATCTTTGAGAATTTTAGCATGATTATCTCCACTTCTTCTTGTTTTCTCTTACTGTATTTGACAAGTATTTAGGTATTAAACACAAAAGCACTCTCTTTCTGTCCTTTTTCTTAAGATACATAAGTTCAGCCAATAATGTCTCAGTAGGGTCAGCAGTCTCTTTCTACTACATTGGATTTTAATTGCTCCACTGTCTTATTTTTCTGTAATAGCAACCATAGATGTCTTTTTAAATAGACTTAGGGCTCTCTTTTTTCTTCACACAATAAAAATTTAGAAAGAGAGGAGGTGACAAGTCACTGCTACTTTGCTGTCTTCTATGCTTTTCCTCCTGCAAAAAATGGTATTTTCTGTTTCTGTTTAAAATATAGGTAAGTGCTACTGTGGTACTAATAAAAACTAAATTTATAGGTAAATAAAATGTGACCCACCAGAGCCAATTTCTTCATTCAGAGAATGTCAAATTCTTTTCATTGTTGCTGTTGTTTTTATTTTAAAGATGGGGTCTTCTGTGTTATCCAGGGCGGAGTGCAGTGGCTATTCACAGGTACCATCATAGCCAACTACAGCTTTGAATTGTTGGTCTCATCCTTCCAAGTAACTGGGACTACAGGTGTAGACTACTGTACCTGGCTATTTTTTGATGACTGGCCTAACATCCAGAGTTTATATAGCACAGTGGTAAAGTTTGTGTTTTATCGTGGGTTTTATTTTGAACAACATGAATGGGTGGGTAAAGATAGTTAAATCTTTCAGTGCTTACAACCTTCAAAGATCTTCATTTGGACTTAGTACCAAGAAGATACGACCCCACTCCCTTCCCTGTTCCTGTGGTGTGCTTTAATCCTCATTTCCCATCCCACACTTACTAGGACCCCCCCCCATTTCTTTTCAGAGGGCTTTTGGAATGCTGGCTTCTGCTTTTGGGAATGTCATATGCGAATAAGCTAACAGAATGAGAAGCAAAAAACTGTCAATTTTTTCTCCAATTAATTGTTAAATACACATAGATTTTCATGATTTATTTTCTAGAATTTGACAGTTTTTCAGCTTGTTCCGTATTGCTGAGGTATATTGTATATGTCCTTAAGCATATTAGCACTTATATATTTTTATGTAATTTTAACATTTATTGAGAGTCAATACATATTTTAGTTAACCATAATTTTAAAAGATCTATGAAGAGTACTATTTATAATTGCTTTAAAATAGTAGAAATTTTAACTTTTTAAAAAAACGTAAGTCAGGCTCTCACTCTGTCACCAGGCTGAAATGCAGTGGCACAGTCACAGCTCACTCACTGCAACCTCACCCTTCTGGGCTCAGGTGATTCTTTCACCTCAGCTTCCCAAGTAGCTGGGACTACAAGCATGCACCACCATGCTCAGCTAATTTTTACTTTTTTTTTTTTGTGTAATGACAGGATCTCACTATTTTACCTAGGCTGGTCTCAAGCTCAAGTAATTCTCCTACCAGAGCCTCCTAAAGTACTGGGATTACAGGAGTGAGCCACTGCACCCAGCTCAGAATTTTAACTTTGAAAAACAATTAAAATGCTAATTGTTTCTTAATTTTTATTGTCACCCAAGTTGTACACTTAATTCTATTTATTTTAACTATAAATGCTATGATAAATAAGAGAAGTTAACATAATCAGTACATCATCTGAACATTTATCAATATTTATGCTACTATTTAGATATTAACTTTTTAAAAAAGTAAGTTGCATTTGAATACTCTGAAACTAAAATATCTTTAGATTGCTAAGATATCTTTGCTTTGAAGACTGTCTCCATTTTATAAGTTGCTTTTTGCCATATTAAACAAAGTGCTTTAGAACAAAAGTAGAGGTTTATATATTTCTATTTTAAAAGTATGATTTATAATCTAATTTGTCCAGCACTAATCCTAATTACTATATTAATGCTTTTTTCTTATGGGAATTTTTAAGGTCAATTAAATTGTGAAGTTCATTCAATCACTTCATATTGTCTTACAGAAGGAAAAATACATCAATGTTCATCAAATGTCTCAGAAATATTTTACTGTAGAAATATACTACTTAATTAAATTTCCTGTTCCTTATATAGTCTATATCTTGCTGACCAGTATAATAGCCACTAGCCACAAGTGGTTATTTAAATATAAATTAATTAAATTAAATACTTTTTAAAAAGCATCCATTTGCATTAACCACATTTTAAGTGCCCAATAGTGACTGGCATTTCGACACTGCAGATATTAGATAATTCTATCATCACCAAAACTTCTATTGGGCAATGCTGATAGTCAATTATCTGAAATCACCCATTTATAATTAAATGCATACAATAATTTTTGTTTTTATAGCATCTATTGATACATTATAACATGCTCTGTAAGTGCAAAATTCTGTTTAATCTGATCATAGGCTGTGAAAGCAAGCTTTTACAATTTTTTTTGGAATTTACTTTTTGATGATTATTCATATGTCATTTTTGAGTAGTCTGTGTCTATACTTTATATTAAAAATAAACAAGGGCAGAGATCACAAGTGTTTGTTAGATTTATAAATTTCTTCTATTTAAAATGTTACAAACAGATTTATTTAGAAAAGAAAGTCATTTATATGGAAATAGGAGAATAGAGCAAATTTGGTTGGCATTGTTTTAAAAGCCAAAAAAAATTCTCCAGATACTTTTTCTTTTTTTTCTGAAAGAGTAGGTTCTAGAACACTGACCAAAATTTTGTTTTGCCATTTTCTGCATAAAGTTCATTGTGAACTCAATCCTTTTAGCAACTTATAAAATGGAGACAGTCTTCAAAGCAAACCCACTGAAATCTGAGAATGTCAGCACAAACACTGCATATTTACACTTATCTGTATTTCCATTTCTAGAATATTTTATATCTAACACTCTAGTTAGATTATTTAATGTCTCTTCCATAGATCATGAAGTGAAGAGTGAAGAGTAACTTTCTTAAAAGGGCATAGATGCTCAGTGGCAGAGCCAGAATCTGACCTCAGGTTTGATGACCTTGGTCATATTAGAGACATTTTCTGAGTTGGTATTTGAGGTTGGTACAGTTTCTTTGCACTACACTTGGCTTCATTTTGATATAATTCTAACTGCTTTTGATTTTATAATTGTTAAAATTATTGGCTCCACATATTTCATGCACTATAGAGTGAAAATTAAGAAAAAAACAAAAACTACTTAAGAAATTTGATAAATAATGCATTAAATTTGAAAGCAAAAAAATTTTTTACTTTAAAGATGTGGGGTACAATTCAGGATTAGGTTTATAAGTGTTCATTATGCAGATATCCTTGCTATTAAGGTGTTTCCCCCCTTCCCCAGGCAGGTTCCCACTACTGCCAATCCTTTTCTTATAGTATTACGATAGTTATTCAAGTCCGCTTATGTGTGAGAACATATGATACTCAGTTATTTGTATCTTTGAAAGATCACCCAGTATCATAGACTTTAAGTCTACCCAGGTTGCTATGAAGTTCATGATTTTGTTCTTCTTTATGCCTGCTTAATATTCCATCATGTATATGTACCACATTTTAAAAATCCAGTCCTCTTTTGATGGACAGCATGGTTGGTTCCATGTTCTTGCTATTGTGAGCAATGCTGCAATAAACATATGTGTGCAGGTATCTTTTTTTTTTGAGTTGGAGTCTCACTCTGTCGCCCAGACTGGAGTGCAGTGGCCGCTCCCGGCCACCACAGCCTCGACCCGCTGGGCTCCGGCGATCCTTCCGCCTCAGCTGTCCAAGTAGCTGGAATTACAGGCATGCACTACCACACCCGGCTGATTTTTTGATTTATGGTAGAGATGAGGTCTCACTGCCCAGCCGGGTCTCCAACCCATGGGCTCAGGCAATCCACTCACCTCAGCCTCCCAAAGGCGCGGGATTACAGGCTGAGCCACCGAGCCCAGCCAAGTATCTTTTTTATAGAGTAATTTGAGTTCTTCCGGGTATATGCTCAGTAGGGGGATTGTGGGGCCATGTGGAAAATCAATTTTTAGATCTTTTAGGAGTTGCCACACTGTTTTCCACAGAGGCTGTACCGGTGAAAGCAAAATTTATATATATGTTTTAAAATAAAATTTTAAAATTTTTCTTGTCTTAAGAGTATATTTTGATTCAAGATAAATTATTAAATAAAGAAAATAGGCAAAAAGCAGCATATATGACTCCTTTTTTATTAAATTGACTAGAGGATATATTCCAAATTGTTTACAGTGACTGTCTCTGAGTGATAGGATTACGGATAATTGCAATGTTTTTCATTATCTACCAGCTCTTCAATTTCTTTTGTGAATCTGAATTTCATAAAATAGCAGAGGGAAAATATATTTTAATATAAATTACACTTTGATCAAGAATGAATAAATATTTTACTTTAGATAATACATTTTTGAACAAAAAT